AAATTTTCAAATATATTGATTTTTATTACAACACAGAATACAAAGTGTACAGTGCTCACTTCATATTATTATTTTGATTACAAATATTTGCACTGTAAAAATGATAAAAGAAATATTAATTTTCGATTCACCTCATACAAGTACTGTAGTACGATCTCTTTGTCATGCAAGTGTAACTTACAGATGTAGATTTTTTTTTGTTACATAACTGCACTCCAAAACAATGTAAAACTTTAGAGCCTACAAGTCCACTCAGTCCTACTTCTTGTTCAGCCAATCACTAAGACAAACAAGTTTGTTTACATTTACGGGAGATAATTGTGCCTGCTTATTTACAATGTCATGTGAAAGTGAGTACAGGCATTCACATGGCACTTTTGTAGCCAGCGTTGCAAAGTATTTACGTGCCAGATATGCTAAACATTCGTATGCTCCTTCATGCTTCAGCCACCATTCCAGAGAACATGCTTCCATGATGATGATGCTCGTTTAAAAAAAATTTGTTAATTAAATTTGTGACTGAACTCCTTGGGGGAGAATTGTATATCTTCTGTTCAGTTTTGCCCACATTCTGCCATATATTTCATGTTATAGCAGTCTTGGATGATGACCCCCCCCCCCCCGCACATGTTCATTTTAAGAACACTTTCACAGCAAATTTGACAAAACATGAGGAAGGTACCAATGTGAGATTTCTAAAAAACAGCTCTCGACTCAAAGTTTTAGAATCTGAAGTGCTGTACAGAAGCTGAGAGGGGTGAGGTGTGGAGCATGCTTTCAGAAGTCTTAAAAGAGAAACACTCAGATGCGGAAACTACACAACCTGAACCACCAAAAAAAGAAAATCAACCTTTTGCTGGTGGTGTGTGACTCATGATGAAAATGAACATGTATTGGTCTGCTCTGCTTTGGATCGTTATTGAGCAGAACCCATCATCAGCATGGACACGTGCTTTGGAATGGTGGTTGAAGCATGAAGGGACATATGAATCTTTAGCGGATCTGGCACGTAAATATCTTGCGATGCTGGCTACAACAGTGTCATGCAAACACCTCTTCTCACTTTCAGTTGACATTGTAAACAAGAAGCGGGCAGCATTATCGCCTGCAAATTTTAACCTAACTTGTTTGTCTGAGTGATTGGCTGATATAGGACTGAGTCAATGTGTAGGCTCTAAAGTTTTACATTTGTTTTATTTTTGAATGCAGTTTTTTTGTACATAATTCTACATTTGTAAGTTCAACTTTCATGATAGGGACTGTACTACAGTACTTATATTAGATGAATTGAAAAATACTATTTCTTTTTTACAGTGCAAATATTTGTCATCAAAATAAATATAAAGTGAGCACTGTACACTTTGTATTCTGTGTTGTAATTGAAATCAATATATTTGAAAATTAGAAAACATCCAAAAATATTTAAATAAATGGTATTCTATTATTGTTTAACAGTGCAATTAATTTCTTGGCAGCCCTAGTTTTAATATGGCTAAATGTAAATGTAATCATAGACTTGAGGCCAAGAGAAACCATAATGATCATCTAGTCAGACTTTTTCTGTGCACCGCAGGTCACAGAATCTTACCCCACCCCACCCCTGCAGTAGTCCCATAACCTCTGGCTGAGTTACTGACTTCCTCAAATCTTGATTTAAAGACTCCAAGTTACAGAGAAACCACCATTTAGTCTAGTTCAAACAAGCAGGTGACCCATGGCCTACCCTGCAGTGAAGGTGAAAAACCCTCAGGGTTTCAAATTGGCAAAATTCCTTCCTGACCCCAGATATGGTGATCAGTTAGACCCTGAGTATGTAGGTAGGCATCTGGGAAAGAATTCTCTGTAGCAACTAAGAACTCTCCCCACTCTAGTGTCCCATCTCCAGCTGTTGGAGGTATTTGCTAATAGTGGTTGTGAATGGGCCATATGCTATTGTAAGCAATTGCATCAGGCCATCCCTTCCACAAACTTATTAAGCTCAGTCTTAAAACATGTTAGTATTTTTTTTGCCCCCATTATATGTAGGAACAAAGAATATAAGCCATTCCCTACAGTATGGGAGGAGGCAGTGACTAAGGAAGATATTTTGGGTTATGGTGAGTAATCAGCTGAACATTAGCTTTCAGTGCAGTGCTGTGACCAAACGGGCCAATGCAAACATTAGGTACGTAAACAGGGGAATCTTGACTATGTACAGAGAGGTTATTTATTTACCTCTGTATTTGACACTAGTGTGACCACTGCTAGAATACTGTGTCCAGTTCTGGTGTCCATAATTCAAAAAGGATGTTGATAAATTGGAAGGCCAAGAAGGCCAATGGCATTTTGGGATGTATAAGTAGGGGCATAGCGAGCAGATTGAGGGGCGTGATCGTTCCCCTCTATTCGACATTGGTGAGGCCTCATCTGGAGTACTGTGTCCAGTTTTGGGCCTCACACTACAAGAAGGATGTGGATAAATTTGAGAGAGTCCAGCGAAGGGCAACAAAAATGATTAGGGGTCTGGAACACATGACTTACGAGGAGAGGCTGAGGGAACTGGGATTGTTTAGTCTGCAGAAGAGAAGAATGAGGGGGGATTTGATAGCTGCTTTCAACTACCTGAGAGGTGGTTCCAGAGAGGATGGTTCTAGACTATTCTCAGTGGTTGAAGAGGACAGGACAAGGAGTAATGGTCTCAAGTTGCAGTGGGGGAGGTTAAGGTTGGATATTAGGAAAAAATTTTTCACTAGGAGAGTGGTGAAACACTGGAATGCGTTACCTAGGGAGGTGGTAGAATCTCCTTCCTTAGAAGTTTTTAAGGTCAAGCTTGACAAAGCCCTGGCTGGGATGATTTAATTGGGGATTGGTCCAGCTTTGAGCAGGGGGTTGGACTAGATGACCTCCTGAGGTCCCTTCCAACCCTGATATTCTATGATTCTATGAAATTTTAAAGGGCTCAGACGAGCTAGGAGAATGATTAAATGATTAGAAAACAGCTAAATCTCTTTCTCTTTACAAAGAGACGGGTTAAGGAGTTATTTGATTAGTCTGTAAGTACCTATCTGAGGAAAAAAATTTGATAATTTGTCTGCTAGACTGAAGAGCCAAAGTATAACACAATCCAATGGCTGGAAATTGAAGTTAGACAAATTCAGATTAGAAATAAATTGTAAATTGGGATTCTAGAGAAAATACATCCAATTTAGACACAACATGCAGAAGTTACAGCCATTATAAAGGCTACTTTGACACACACAAAATGCAAAACGAGTGTCAAGAGGTCTGACTAGTAGTCTGGTAACTGTATCTGTGACAAAGTTTCACTCTGTCATACTACATTTCCTGAGGGTTAATCAGAGATGTCACTGTCAATGCACTTGAAATGAAGAGATGTTCACTATGATTCTCTTTCCTATTATCAAAGAGATTGCTGAGCACTATTCCTGGAGAGCACTGTTTTAAAGCCGAGGGCTGGCCCTTCTTGCGGGCAATTCTGAGATTAGGAATTTTTATCAATTTTGTGTCTGGTTTTTTGCATTGTACTTTCCTCAGAGGCAATGACGCTCTCAGACATGATGGTTTCTCATCAGATCTACCTGACAGCAGAACATCTGGTGGGAGAGGGCAGGTTGCAGGAACACTCACTAAGTAGGACACAGGGCCAGCTTATGTCTTCTTTTCCTGGACCAAGAACTGCAGAGGAGAGTTCTCTTTCTTCAGGAGTACCATCATGACAAGCGCACACAATGTCAAATATGACAACCCTTTTCTACAAAGTCAACAGAATTGTGTTTAACATAGTGCTTGAAATTGTTAGTTAGGGTGTGTTATAACATATCTTTTTCAACTGTTGACAAGCCCCTATTGTACAGCCTTCAAATAGCAAGTATCTTGTCACTTTTATTGCTTCTGCCTGTTTCAGATCTGAACAGTGAAAACTGACCAGCTGGCTACCGATAATTTTCACTGTACTGCAACTCTGAAGGCTATGAACAGCTACAGAGTCAAGGATTTGGTCCTGTGAGGAGAAGCAAGAGGGCAGGAGGGAAATGTCCTTTCACTCCCCTTTCCAACAAATATTGGATTGAGTCCCTGTCTGCTGTTTCTTGTAGCCTTTGGAGCAGCTGTGCAGTGGAAAGAAACTGGTCAGTCTCACTGGCCAAAACGTAATAGGCAATTAAACTGACCAGGTAATTGTTGTTTATACATCCTGAAAAATTGATGCCAATATACTCATAGTTTCAGCTTTTATGACTGACTTGATGAAAGCTCCTAGGAACAGGAGCTTAATGCTTAACTGTTCCAGTCAGCCAGTTGTATTTTTTCTCTATTAAAAAAATGCATGCTGGATCTAGCTTAGTCAGTGACTTGTCAAATTAAAAACCTTGCCATCCCGGACAAATTGACTTCTATCCTCCATAGAAAGTGATAAGACATGATTAACAATGGTCAGTACTTTGGAACACATCAAGACTCAAGAGGGTATCCTGTTATCAGAAATTTGTGTATGTAACTTTCCCCTGTATTCTGGGCTCTAATTAGGGCATCCTCTGTCTGTTACGTTGTTGGGCTTTACATATTCACACTTTGCCATGTATATTTCTTACTGTATCTTCAAATACTAATAAACCTGTTTATAGATTTTTAAGGCCAGAAAGGACTATTATTCTCATCTAGTCCAAGCTACTGCTTAGCATAAGCCAAAGAATTTGACCCAGTAAATCCTTCATTAAGCTCAAATGTTGCGGTTAAGCTACATCATCTTTTTGGTAAGACGTCCAAACTTTATTCAATCACTTGGAGTATTAACCTGCTACATCTCCAGACAAGTTGTTCAATTGGTTAATGACCCTAAGCATTAAAAATTTGCACCTTATCTCTAGCCTCAATTTATCTAGCTTTAGCTTTCAGTCAGTTTCTGTTATACTATTTATATACATTTGCTTCATTGGCAATAAGATGTCTAAATTATGTTGTAAGAAGTTTATAAGTAGGAACTCTTTCTTATGTATGTATAGATCGCTCAGTCATTGGTGTTTCTGCTGCTTGCTACACTCTTCAGTGCGGTGACTGGCCTCCCATGGAGTCTATATAATACCTTTGTCATAGAGGAGAAACATGGCTTCAATCAGCAGGTACTGTGAAATATACATGTACAGAAATAGCTTTCCAAATTAAAGTTAGTTTATGGAAAATGCCAGGTGGACAAATATCTGTAAATATGTCCTATTTGCCAGTGATATTTCTTTTACCACATGCCATGTGACATTAATATTTCTGTGGGAACCTAAATCTCTGAATGTTTTGACCATGATACCCAGATACTTCTGCTTTCCCTTATATCATCAGATCACTACCTGTTCCAGACCACCAATTCTTAGTACTTAGCTCTTTCTGCAGCCGTCCTCACACAAACATCACACCAGCACCTACGAAGGGATCAGTCATGTCTTATGTCAAGTTGTTCAGGGAAGATGGTGGCAGCTGTTGCAGCAAAGAGAAGAGGAAATATATACCCTAGTTGTGTAGCCAAGAATCTCTCCTGTCTCATCACTTCCGTTGTCAGTTAGGTCTTGTCTCTGCCTCCTACAGCCTGGTTCCCCTTATGCTGAAGAGGTCTAATGAGTGTTCCTTTGCCAGGCTGCTGCCTAGCCCTCCCCAGAAGCACTTCTGACACCCAAGTCCAGGCACTGCATGTAGTTGATTGAGTGAGGCTGAGAGCACCATCTCTGGTTTACCTCCTTAATCTGCCTCATGAATTCCGCCTTCTGCTAAACCAGAAGGGTCATCTCTTCATTCACACCTCCTACAAACTACTCACTTGTCTTGTTCCAGCAGCTTCAATTTCCTTAACCTGCCCCTTCCCCATCACCTGCGTAGGTCTCCCTCCTGCACTGGCAGGATTTCTCTCGTCAGAGAGCTTCCCCTTCTCAATTTCTGCATTAGTTCTTGCTCAGCTAGGGGTACCTCCTCAGGGTAAATCAGGCCTGGTTCCTTCCTTCCTTCCTGGCCCTAGTTCTTTCCAGTTCCTCTGAAGAAAGGGTTTGCTTCTGTGAGAGGGAAACATTTCTATCCAGATCATAATAGGCAATTTATTTCTGTGGACTTTGAAGCCTTGGCTGTAGCTGTCTGCACAGCACTATATCTCTCCAGGAAAGGACTGTAGGGCCCAGAGCCCACCAGAAAGTTCCAGTTTAACACAGGCTGAAAGTTGGGAAATCAATCAGGGAAGCCCTTTATCATATTGTAGAGAATTTATCTGCTTCACCTGCAAGAGCGTCATACCAGATGCCCTGGGATTTTCTCATTTCTATTTGCAGTTTCCAAGGAGCTAGGAGGACTGAGTCGAAGCTAGATCTAAAGTAGCTGAACTAGTTGTTTGTCACTTATAGACATTTCAAAGTAGAGCCAGTGTAGCAGTTACTTCATCCTTACTGCGGTAGAATCAGGAGACTGTTTTGCCTCCATCAACCTACAGGTGACTCACAAATGAAAAATAACTGAGGCTTTTTTACTATGATGTATAAAGAAGGCCTGAAAATTTTCCTCATATGTCCTCTCCTGCTCCCCCACACTCTGCTCCCTAAAATCATCTTGGTTTCACACATTAGAATTACATGTCTAGCCTAGCAATTTTTTCCTGAAATTCCCTGTGGGCCATGGAGATGGTGTGAATATGACATCACAGATACTACAGAAACAAAACCTAATTAACCGAGAAGGGAGATGACATCTGTTCAAAATATCTAAAACTTCATGTTTTATTTCACTTCTTACACACACACTCAAATGCCTGAGAAACATCTGAGGGAAGAGTGTTGTGAGTTCAAAACCAAACCCCTTTCAGCCTTTCATTCATCTTCATAAAGAAGCAAAAAGAGCACAGACCCATTTTTCCTCTTTGCAGGACAACATGTTCTCCTGAAGCAGAGCTTGCCTGATGTTTGCTCTGGACCATGAATATTTCAATTTATCATCTTGCCCTACTATCTGCTCTGTGTGTATTCTCCAAAGTGGTTGTCATAGCAACAGTATTTTGCTCACAGAAGATGCATGTTATACCAGTGGGTGCTGATAGTTTCTAGATACTCCATCCTTCTTGGCAGGCAGAGTCATCAAGCGTAAAGGTCAGCCCAGTTAATTACGGTCATGGACTTTATAATCAACTCTGAGAAAAGTAATTTCCTTCTTAGCCCCACTTAGGCAGTCTGTGGGCTGGTGGAAGCATCATGCACCTAAACAGAAATGTGCCTTTCCACAACTTTTACTGGTCAGTCATTTCCAAAGCCAATGAGCAATTTTTATCTTTGGGTTGACTTAGGGCACCTGGCCAAGGAGGCAAAGAAATGTCTGGATTTTTTGCAAACTCCAGTCCATGCAATTTTCCCTAATACTCTTCAGAAAGCACATCTCCTTGTCCTCATCCAACTAGACAATATCTAGTGGATTACTTATTTAGGCAAAGCAGAACTTGGAATAAGGCACTAGTTTGTAGAAGCAATGTTTATAATGTTTGCAAAACATTATCTTACCTCCCTCAGACCAGCTCATCTTGTAAGGTTCTTACATTTCTAATGCCTTTCTGTCAAGGGAAGGGCTCTTGAACACATGGCCATTCTGCTGAAAATGGGGCTCTCCAGGCCTGGATCTGCTTTCCACAGCCAAGAACGCCTACCCAGTTTATGCTGATTTTGTTGCGAGTTCAGAGACACTTGAATGATGGATGCCTTTTTAATCCCTTGGAATGGAGAGGGAAGGAGAGATTTGTAAGTTTTCCTTACCCCTTTGTACTGAATTTGGAGGAATCTGAAAGTTGTAGAGGAAAGATAATCATCACTGATTCCCTTTAGGTGCTGGTTCTGTGAATTGCTGATGCTGTCAGCCCAGGATCTGCTTGCCTTCCCGCTAGTTCCATATCTTCTGTCTCAAGGCCCAGAAGTTCACAAAGGCCTAGAGAATCTTCACCTCAAACCCTGGTGTGAGAAAGTTTCCTTGAAATTTTTTTGTTTCTTTGGTCATGCAACTGATGTTCTCCTTAAGTTCTGCAGGCAGTCCCCTCCAAATTCTATTATAGTGTCTGGAATTTGTTTCTGCTTAGTATTTTTTGAAGAGATTCAGAACTCCCCTAGGCCTTGGATTTTGTTTTCCCCAGATGTCTTGGAAAATGGTCTAATCCTACATCACTTCAAGTGGCAAGCTTCTTTTCTCAAGACTGTTATTCAGCCAGTTAATTGGCTCTCATCCTCTGCTCACTAGAGTCCAGGAAATGGAAAAGTTAGAGAGTAGACCTTACTTTTCTTCACCCTGCTTACCCATCTCATTGTTCTTTCTCAGTCAGTGAGGCATTTGCCGTCTGCTTGCTATCTCCAAAAGTCTTTGTAGCAGCCATCATCTTGTGGTGCTATGTAAGGGAACGTTGATTCTTTCCTAGTGTTTTGTAATAAGGTGCCCTTTTGTCATAGAAACCTAAAACGTTACCGCCTTAGAACTCAAGACTTTACATTCTCCACATCTTTGTCCTCTGCCACAAACCCAAAAAAGGGATAAAAGGCATCCAGACCAATTTGAGCAAAATTGACTTGGATTTGTATCGAAGGTTTATGTTGTAGGTTGCAAATCCTAGCTCAACTTCCTGGGCCAAACAAGAGCCTGGCTATGCAGTAGATTTGTCAGGCATCCACCTGGAGCACCGTTCACACTTTTATATACCATTAGTCTGTGTGTGTAGTTGCTTCCTTGGGTCCAGCATTCAGGTGGTGAGCATCAATCTAATGAGGAGAGGACTTCTCACAGAATGTTCACGTCCATGGAGTTTTGCGGGTCCTCAATGGTCGTTTGGCCCACCCTGGATATTCCCGAAGACTGGAACCACAAAGCCCTGTCCGTCATAGTGAAACCAGACATTGAACATTCCATTGTATCAGATGCATCTAGAGTAACTTTTGCACAGATGTTTAGGCCACGAGTTGCTCCTCACATACTACAGATCTCTCTTCTCTTTTATTCCTCAGTAAGCTTTGCTACAAACTGCAACACCTTGTCCCAGATAGAGCAGCACCTGCCAAGAAGTTGATGACAGATGCCACACACTCAGATGGGGAGCTCATCTGGGGACCACCTTTAGACTCTGTGCCTCTTGTGTCTCCGCCCCCGCAGGAAATTCTCATTATTGTCCTCGAGCTCAGAGCCATACATCTAGTATGTGTGGCATTTCGACACTTGCTACAGGGATCCACAATCCAAGTGATGACGGACCATACAACAGCTATGTATTATGTCAATAGGTGGGGAGGAACATGATCAACTTGGCTCTGTCAAGAAGTCATTAGGACTGGTGCATTGGTCTTCAAATCTAACCTGTGGCTTTGCATCCTCCAAGCTTACAAAATGCCCCATTGGATCAGCTAGGATAGCTAGATCAGACAACCACAAGCTAACTGTGAAACTCAATTATGCGGAGTATCTTTTGTGGGTAGGTCTATTTTGGAGCCTCCCTATTTGCCACAGTCTAGAAGAAGAAATGCTGGATGTTCTGCTTCAGAGAGGTTTGATCATATGCCTTCCTCGCCTCATGGACAGCAGAGTTCATGTATGCCTAACCATCGATCCGATTAGTACCAAGATTTCCTGAAGAAACTTGGACAAGATTCAGTCTGTGATTATGGTAGTTCCAGCTTGACTTAGACAGTTCTGGTACTCTTATCTGATAAATCTGTCAATACAGCTGCTTATCACATCTGTTCTACCCAGTGTGGTTTCACAAAAATAGAGGTCGTATCTTACACCCAGTTCTAGCATCATTCTATCTGGCAGCCTGGATTCTGGCTTGCAAGCGGTCATCCAATGAAGCTGTTCTATGGAAGTCCAGAACACTTTGATATGTAGTAATAAAATTTCTAATGGACATCCCCCTCTCCCTTGGAAGCCCTGGTTTCTGTTATTCTGGTCTGTCTGCCTGCCCTAAAACATTCAGGGCTATCCAGAAAGGGTATAGTTAGCAGCAATATGGGCGCATCATCCATCTGTTCAGGTTTATAGCATATTTTCCTCCCAACAGTTGCTAGATTCCTCAAGAAGCTCATTCATGTGCTTGCCTCAGTCTGGGAACCCCCTCCTTTCTGGGACCTTAGCATAGTATTACTGGTTTGATGTGTCCCCCTTCTGATCCCTCAGAGACTGCTCTTTATGCCACTTGTCTATGAAGACTACATAATATAAGCATGCAGAGTAGAGGAAATTCATGTTTGGTCCACCTTAACTAGTCTTTGTGGAACACCATGTAATTCTTAGGCCTGATTCCAAATTCTTTCTTTAAAAAGTCTTAAATTTTCATTTAAATCAGCTGATTCACCTTCCAGTCTTCTTTCCCAAGCTCTGTTAAAACCAGAGGGAAGCCAAACAGCACACCATTGTATGAAAGAGGCCTGTCCGCACCAACTTAGAAAAAACAAGTGTCACAGATCCACAGTCTTGATACTATGCCCCAGCTTTTAAACAGTCTCTTGGAGAAATCCCTTCAGTAATAGACTCCCAAGGGGTTTCACTTTCTTCCTTCATAGAATAATAGAATATCAGGGTTGGAAGGGACCTCAGGAGCTCTAGTTCAACCCCCTGCTCAAAGCAGGACCGATCCCCAATTAAATCATCCCAGCCAGGGCTTTGTCAAGCCTGACCTTAAAAAGCTCAAAGGAAGGAGATTCCACCACCTCCCTAGGTAACGCATTCCAGTGCTTCACCACCCTCCTAGTGAAAAAGTTTTTCCTAATATCCAACCTAAACCTCCCCCACTGCAACTTGAGACCATTACTCCTTGTTCTGTCATCAGCTACCACTGAGAACAGTCTAGAGCCATCCTCTTTGGAACCTCCTTTCAGGTAGTTGAAAGCAGCTCTCAAATCCCTCGTCATTCTTCTCTTCCGCAGACTAAACAATCCCAGTTCCCTCAGCCTCTCCTCATGTGTTCCAGTCCCCTAATCATTTTTGTTGCCCTCCGCTGGACTCTTTTTCCAATTTTTCCACCTCCTTCTTGTAGTGTGGGGCCCAAAACTGGACACAGTACTCCAGATGAGGCCTCACCAATGTCGAACAGAGGGGAACGATCACGTCGCTCGATCTGCTGGCAATGTCCCTACTTATACATCCCAAAATGCCATTGGCCTCCTTGGCAACAAGGGCACACTGTTGACTCATATCCAGCTTCTTGTCCACTGTCACCCCTAGGTCCTTTTCTGCAGAACTGCTGCCGAGCTATTCGGTCCCTAGTCTGTAGCGGTGCATTGGATTCTTCCGTCCTTAGTGCAGGACTCTGCACTTGTCCTTGTTGAACTTCATCAGATTTCTTTTGGCCCAATCCTCTAATTTGTCTAGGTCCCTCTGTATCCTATCCCTACCCTCCAGCATATCTACCTCTCCTCCCAGTTTAGTGTCATCTGCAAACTTGCTGAGGGTGCAATCCACACCATAGTTGGCCATGCAGCCTCACCCACTCAGAGGCTGAGCCTCTGGGCTCAGGCACTCCTATTTCACACTGTGAGCTCTGCCAGCAAATCCAGTTGTGATAGACTCCTAATCAGAGGCTTGTGCACTCTTCAGGGCCTAATTCACCTCAGCAAATACTTGCAGTGACACCAAGCAGTATTTTCAAAATAGAGTAGGATTTATTAGTTAACTGGAATACAACATTGGAAGTCCTTAGTTTAGCACAGAGAAATAAAATGTGTGTCCACCTGGCCAAGCCAGAACAATCCATCAGCCAAGCTGTAATGGGTTCCATTATTGCTTTTGTCTCTGACTGTTTTGTCAGTCCCACATGAGAGCAGCCAGCCTTTTCCAGAAACCACTCTTAATCCCCTGCCAGTCACCTCTCTGTCCTTTGTTTCTGAGCTGGTCTCTTCTCAGCTTTCCCGCTCAGAGGCGGTGGGAAAAACCACCTTTCTCGTGGTGATTGACTACTAGGTGTGAATGTTTTGGTCATTGGGGTTTCCCATTTTCTCTTGGGAATCATGCTCTGATATGGGTAGCTTTCTGTAGGTTCCATCCTATTCCTTAAGGACCTGTTCATTGTGGCCCAGACAGCAAAGTGACGAAAACACCTCATATCTGCTGTGCTGCCCTGAGAGCAGACTTCAGCCTCCCGCCCCCTGCCCTGTCCTGGATAGCAATGGAAAGTACAGAGGGAAGCGGAGGCACACATAGACTTCATAAAAATATTATGAAAAATTCCCATTTTGTTTGGGTTCACTCTACCCTTTTTATCTTTGAGTGGGGGGAGGGGGTGCAAGGACATCTATGGTGCAAGTGCAGCTCCATTGGATACTGCTGTTCAAGAGAATCCTATATTGTATGCATGGGATGCATGTGCACCAGAGTGGAATCCATGTATAGAATACATCTTGAAGAACCACAGTTCCTGAAAGGTAAGTAACTGTTCTTTCAAAATTTAATTGTTGCCTTTGCTGTGTTGCTGTATGTCACACATCAGTATTGCTGTATTCCTCTTACTTGTAACCTAGAATAATTTTTGAACATTAGGTGAAAGACCAGTTCATTAACCCACAGTGCCACTTAGATAACTACAATATGAATATCACTAATGTTCTTTCTTTACAGACACTGGGATTTTTTTTTAAGGATGCCATCAAGAAGTTTATCGTGACTCAGTGTATTCTGTTGCCTGTGACCTCTCTTCTGCTTTACATTATTAAAATAGGGGGAGACTACTTCTTCATTTATGCCTGGCTGTTCACATTAGTTGTTTCCTTGGTGAGTATGGAGGTACTTTTTTGTCCATTTGTAATATTAGTTTGTTCTCGGAGTATAGTGCACAGAGTTTTTTAAATAATATATTTCTTAAAACTGGAAGAAATTTAAAGTGGGAACCTTATCAGTCTTTATAATCTTATGACTATCATTAGTGCAGCAGCAGCAGCTCATGTCTATTATTCCTCTGAATGCTCATAAAAGCTTATTAATGTGACATTTAAATTAAAAATACATTTAATCTAATATTGAAGTGTCTTCTATCAAGAAGAAATAACAGTTTGACTACATGTGCATTTCTGTCAACAGTATCTGACATCCTTTTTCAAGCATCCAACCACTGGTCCTCAATTACATAGTACTTAGGGTATGTCTATACTTAAAATGCTGCAGCGGCATAGCTGCTGTAGCACTTCAGTGTAGACAATCGCTACAGTGATGCGAGGGGTTCTCCTTTTGCTGTAGTGAATGCACCTCTCCAAGAGGCAGTAGCTAGGTTGATGGAAGAACTGGACCTGGTATTCAGTGATGATCTCACTAATGTTGACAGAGGTAGTATCAAGTAGAAGTAGGGAAAGTATTATTTCCCTGCTTCTGTTTCCAATTGTTAGGGTTCGTTTTTCATTAATGATTAATGAAATGTCAGATAACTCAAATCAGTTTATTAAACAGAAAAATTGGCACAGAGAGGGTCGTACGTGATCAGTCTCTGGGAAGTGGTCTCACAGCAATCACAGCTCACATCATCTGTGTCTGCTCCGAAATGCGAGTTAATCTGACATATTTTTGTCCACTTGTTTACAGCAAGTAGAAGATTAATACACCTTACCCCTTTTCCTTATCTAGTTTCAGATCTATTTTCCAATATACAAAGACATCTATACCAACCAGACACCATAACTTTCCAGATGTTCATGAACTGTAGAGTAGAAGTAGCAGCAGACCATAGTGACATAAACCGTTTTATATGAACGATACTTACCAACAATTCATATATAGCAATCCTTAACAGAACACATCTTACTCCTGACAAGTTCAGCGCACATAAAGAACAAAGGTTGTACATTGTTCACCATAAGCTTAGCATAAGTGCAAAAGCATGCTGGAAGTTGGGTTCATAACTATACAGCTTTGCGTAAATACAAAATGTACAAAGCCTTCTAGAAAAATATATTGGCTAATGCAAGGATTGCATTTACTGTCTTAGTGCATCATACAGGGAGTTCATGTTCAGTTGATTTCCACCATGACTGTCCTGTTCAGAGATGCTGCTTTCCAAGATACAGGTCTTGATATTATAAGTGTGGCCTGTGCTCTTTGCTCCTAGATGCATGACTTTGCATTTGGTTGCATTAAAGCCCATGTTAAAATGAGCCCAACTTACCAGGTGATTTTGATTGCTCTGTGGAACTGATGTGTCCTTATCATTATTTGCCTTTCGAACAATTTTTGCCACTTGCAGGCTTTACCAGCAATAACTTTATTTTATTGCAAATCGAGGGTGGTTTGATTTAAATCAAATTATTTAAAATCGACTTTAATTATGTTTTGCATTTGTACTTTTTAGTTCTTTTCCTTAAAATAAAAAAAAAAAAAAGTTGGTTTGTCATTGGTTGGTAACCATTAAAACAGGTTTGTTTGTAACTCAGTGTAGCCTTTGCACTAAATTTGGTGCCTTTTACGAACCAGGAGGATATGTTATATCTATACACATTTATTTAAGCAGTTATGTAGCTTAACTTACACTTATTCAAATTCTTAATGTATTAATTTTAGAAAATGGCGAATGACATATTTCTTATTTACTAAACATTTATTTGTGATTTGTGTCAACCTTCATTTGGATGGAAATTCAATTAAAAGTGCACAAAAACAGCATTTTAACTTTATTAAATAAAACTACCTTTAAATGTGCTGGAAACATAAAGTTTATCAAAACACGTTTTGCCTTTAAAACTGATTAATTAAACAAAGGAAGTATGATCTGTAATTGAACTGATTATCTCTGGTCAGTGTGGGTGGGATCTGTGAAGGTCCTTAGGTGCCTAAACCAGAGATTTAGACACATAAGTTCCATTTGTGATCCACAGAATTTTTGCTGAACCCTGTAGCCACCTAAACTCACTCACTAAGCACACCTGGTGGATCAAGTCCCAATTCAATCCTGATGGTGATGTGGCTGCCCAGTGGTTAGACTACTCACCTGCCTTGTGGGAATCATAGGCTTATTTCCCATCCCAGGCAGAGGGGGGAGAAGATTTGAACAAGGGACTTCCACCTCTCTAGAGAGTGCTCTAACAGTTGAGCTATGGGATATTCTGATGTGGGGCTTCTTCCCTTTCCTGTTGAAGCTGTTACACTGTAAGTAAATAATGAAAGAATGATTGAAGCAGGGGGACTGGACATGGGGTCTCCCACCTCCCAGGTGGGTGCCCTAACCGTTGGACTACAGAGTCATATTCTCTTTCTCTCTCATCCAATTGTCCCTGGTCCAATCACTCTTTCATTGACCCACCACACACCATGCCTCCCCGTCTTGTGTGGAGTCCTGCAAGAAATGCCTTGGGCACCTAAGTTGTCTGATTCTGGGGTGGGTTCCTGTTCGTGGATCGCTAAGCAGAATTAGGTGTCTTCCTGCAGCCTGGACTTAGGTGCCTGTCTTTGTGAGAGGGGCAGGGCTTAGCACATCCTCCTCTCTTTGACATCTCCTATTGGCTAGCTTAGGCAGCTTCTCACCTAGCATACTGACTTTTGTGGATCATTCATTGTATAAGGAGCCTAGGCATTTAACTCAGCTTTGTGGATTGTGTGATTTTTTCTAGGCTCATAAAAGTTAGGCACTCTGTGACATTCAGCCTTGCAATGCCCAAGTCCCTTCATGGATCTCACCCTATGTCCTTCAAGATCTTAGAGTACACCTCATTCTCTGATACCTAGTTTTTGTTCATAAATTGGAAAAGGAAAACAAGCTTTCCTGCTTTTTTCAACTCCCAGATGGTTTCTTAACTTTTGAATGAGCTAGTAATTGAACTGAACTAGTGGAATAAATTGAAATGAAGAAAATAGTCTCTCTGTACCCAGAGAAGAGTCTATGGCTGTCAAAAGCTGGTCTGGCGCTTCAGCAAACTCCAGTTCCAGATGTGTTGCCATTGACTTCCACCAATTCAGTAGTTTGACTTTCCAACTTGGCAGCAAATAAGTATTACTTAGTATTTTTTGTATAGAAAGACAAGTCGGATGAGGGTAATATCTTTTATTGGACTAACTTCTACTGGTAAAAAAGACAAGCTTGCAAGCTTACACAGAGTTCTTCCTCTTAATTTAAATTATTTTAATAGATTATCATAAATCTAGCCTTGACATAGGTTGTCAGTTTCAAATTTAATTTTTGAATAATTGTCCATAGTGCATTATAAACAATGTACTTGTATCAGATCTTAGGTTTACAGAAGAAGGAAAGGCAGTTCAAAAGTGGCAAAGGAAAGATATTTTATACTGCAGGGGTTCTCAAACTGGGGGTCGGGACCCCTCAAGGGGTTGCGAGGTTATTGCATGGGGAGTTGCGAGCTGTCAGCCTCCTCCCTAAACCCTGCTTTGCATCCAGCATTTATAATGGTGTTAAATATATAAAAAAAGTGTTTTTAATTTATAAGGGGAGTTGCACTCAGAGGCTTGCTTTGTGAAAGGGGTCACCAGTACAGAAGTTTGGGAACTACTGGTGTACTGTATGTATCTCCCAAACAATTATAGCATTGCCCCTTGTACTAAGTAATTCAAGAATAAAGTTCTAATATAGCAATCCTTTGGGCCCATTTCGTAATTACGTCCAACCTAGGAAGCACAACAAAGCCTGTAACTAGAATAACAATATTCTTGTAGTTTTCATCGGTATGGAGAGCTATTTGAAGGTATTGGAATCCGGAATAATAATGCATGCAACCAAGCAGAGTGGGCTATGAGTCTGCCCATAGTTTGATGAAGGGTGAAAGTCCTAGAAAATGAGGGGCATGAATTTGAAAGATGGTGGTCATAGGACAACTAATGGAATATGGGCAAGTCGGTCCACATTGATTTGCTAAATCCCTAATAAAAAATAATTAGGTGCTACAGATACAAGAAACTCCAGAAATGCAAATAGGGAACTGGAATGTTTAGATTCTAAATGGCAGGTTTCAGAGTAGCAGCCGTGTTAGTCTGTATTCACAAACAGAAAAGGAGTACTAATGGCACCTTAGAGACTAACCAATTTATTTGAGCATAAGCTTTCGTGCCACTAGTACTCCTTTTCTTTTTAGATTCTAAATATTCCAGATAATTCAGATCTTATACTCCAAGTCCCAATGATTTTCAATGGGACTTGGGTTCCTAAGTCACTTCGTTGCTTTCCCAAATTTTACCCTTGGCTTCAGTAGTTGATTGATTGACTCAAACCAACCGTGCTGGCTCCACACACTAGATACTCTCCTGCCTGGAGTAGACAGGAGTCATTGTATCTCCTGGGACTGTGGGGAGAAGAGGCTGTGCAAACACAGCTATGGACTGGCTGTGGAAACATGGACATCTGTGAAAAAATTGCATGGTGAATGCAAGCAAAGGGTCAGCAGCAGTGCTGCATGAAAGCAAAAGAACTTCAGGCAGATTTAAAGTGCAAAGGTTGGTTTAAAGATCATAAAATACATATGGTACGTAATCTGCAATAACCTAAATTTAGGTGAATACATTTAATGATACAATTTAGATATTAACATCCAAATATTCGGATACATCACTCATGAAACCTATCAATTTAATCTATCATTTAAATCAGCTTTTGTACCAAATGACTGGAGGATAGCTAATGTGAAGCCAATTTTTTAAAAGGATTCCAGAGGCGATCCCAGCAATTACAGGCCGGAAAGCCTGACTTCAGTACCAGGCAAAGTGGTTGAATCTATAATAAAGAACAAAATTGCCGGACACATAGATGAACATAATTTGTTGGGGAAGAGTCAACGTGTTTTTTC